CTAACTAACTAACTAACTAACTAACTAACTAACTAACTAACTAACTAACTAACTAAATAAATAAAATAAAATAACACAGACAATTACAGCTAGGCTTGCACTGTGCAGTGAACCCTCTGTATTTACTTTCATGCAGACTTCTCTTTATGGTAGATTTAGTTATTGCTAACCTACCTCCTGCAGAGTGTTGTTCACTTGGTTGGCTGCTGTGAGGGGGTTTCTCTTCACCATGGAAATTACCACTGTTGTCTTCTGTAGATGTCCAGGTTGTTTTACATCAGGGGTGTCCAAAGTGTGGCCCGGGAGCAATTTGTGGCCCCTGAACTGATTTTGTGTGGTCCCTGACTTCAATTCAAGAATTATACTAATTTGTTTAAAAATTTGTCCCCCCGGCACAGGTGTTTGATGTAGATGGAGACTTTCTATTTATTATTAGGGCAAATTTATCACAAAGTAAAATCTTATAATAAAAAATATTAGCAACAAAACCAGTTGTTTGTCTTTAAATAACCAGACTCGTAGGTTTTTTCAAATCTATTTAGTGACTTCTACTCAGAAGCTGATTTTGCTGCACTCCAAACTGCTTTTAATTCTTTTATTAAATTCATCTGAATACAGCAAGAATTTTCAACAAAAGAGTGACCTAAATCCTGATTTTATTGATCAGAATTGACTAAATTGAGTTGTTTTTTCCCCCAACAGAAACCTATAAAATTACAAAAAATTTTCAATAAGGGAATCCTGCAAAACAATTTTAAAGTTCTGGATCTAGATTAACTCACACATCCATTTCCAGCAATAAATCTGACTACTTTATTTGTTTAAAGACTTCAATGCTTAATTTATTGTTGAGCAGGCAAAAGAAAAATATTTTTGGCCCTCATGTACTTCTGACTTTATGATTTTTGGCCCAGATGACAAAATGTTTGGACACCTGTGTTTTACATTGATAAGTTCACCAGAGCTTTCTTTCTTTCTCAGGATGTACCAAACTGAAGATTTTGAAACTCCTAATATTGTAGCAATTTCTCACATGCTTTTTTTTGTCTTATTACTTTTGGTCCCTTTAAAAAACAGAGTGACACATGTTTATTTTAAAAATTTATCATCCCACTGCAGTTGCCATTCTTTCATAATCACTTTTTAGGCAACATTTAAAATTTTGATAGTTTCATGTCAACATCAGCTTTATATATTTTGTTACTACTTTTAATTTGTCTTTTTATTCCAACCGATCTCAGTCTTGGTCTTCATAGATCTGCCCTGACAACATGCACGGACATATTTTATTTCATATTCCAAAACTTGATGAGTTTCAGCAGTTCCTTTTTGAATATTTAAAAAAGATATTTTGGTCATTTGGAAGTGTTTTTTTTCTGGAAGACGTGACGTTTTACATTTATCTTGCTGTAGATAGCTTTTTGAATGGCCTCAGTTGAGAAGAAAATGATTAATGTCTCACTGAACCGATGAACTAACAGTGTAGTGACTTGTATGAATGTAGTTAGGAGTGAGTGCTTCTAAATCCATGGGATCATCTGAGAGCTTAGTGAGAGGTCGACCATTCAATATAGCCTCAACCTCGCAGAACGCTGTCTGCAGTCCATCATCATCCAGTGTTTGAAGGTCTATCACAGAGGTAAGAACTTTTCTTACCATTCGTATGACTCATTCCCAGACTCCCCCAAAATGCAATGCTGCAGGTGGATTAAAGTTCCATTTGATGCCATCTTGCAATAATGCTCTCTGTATTTGGTTATGGTTTAGAGATTCAAGTGCTTCTTTTAGTACCTTCTCTGCTCCTACAAAATTTGTACCATTGTCTGAGCGGATTGAAGACACTTGTCCTCTTTGACTGATGAACCTTCGCAGAGCATTAATACATGCATCAGTATCTAAAGATGAAGCCACTTCCAAATGAACCGCTCTGCTTGCCAAGCAGGTAAAAAGGACACCATAACGCTTGCAGAGGCTTCGTCCTCTTTTTACTTCCAAAGCACCAAAATAATCCACTCCCACATGTGTAAAGGGAGGAAGATCTGGAATGAGCCTTTCCTTTGGCAGGTCTGCCGTTTTCTGCTCACCCAACTTTCCTTTGTGTCATCTGCAGAAGCTGCATTGTGATATGATTTTTCTCAACGCTGATGTGGCGTTCGTTATCCAGAATCTTTTTCGCAGTCTTGACAGAGTATAATTTCTGCCGCTGTGACCCACTTGTTGGTGCACATGTCTTAAGATGAGTGTGGAGATGTGTTGTTCTTTTGACAAAATGATTGGATGCTTTGTCTCTTCTGGTAAAGCTGCTTTACTTAAACGGCCTCCAACTCTCACAAGCCCATCCTCCAAACATGGATCCAATTTGTAAATAGAACCGTTTCTTGACACAGATCTTCCAGCTGATAGGGCAGCAATCTCCTCTTTGAACCTTTTTTGCTGACTGTAGCGAATAATGGAAATTTCCGCATCCAATAGATCCTCAACAGAAAAGGTTCGACTTATTGCTTTTTTGGTCCTCTCCATCACGTGATTCCTCTGCACCAGCTTTAAGAGCATGCAACTCTTTTCTTTTTTGTTTTAACTGCAGAAGAACCATTTTCCATTTAAGGAACCAAGCAACTGCCACCTTAAGTTTCCTCCAATCTGAGAAATATAAAAGGAGCTGATCAGTAGCATTTGGAATGTCCTGAGTGATTATGTTCATTGTGACTTCTCTTTTAAGTTCAACATCTTCAAGAGCAATTGTAGCTTCTAAATCATTTGGAGGCCAACTCCTTTCTGGGTCAAGGAGAAACTTTGGGCCCTCAATCCAAATTCCTCCATTCAGCAAATCTTTCACCTTCATACCTCTAGAGGCATAATCCACAGGATTATCTTTGGTACAAATGTACCTCCACTGAGATAAGTGAGTTGCATCTCTGATGGCTGATACATGATTTGCCACAAATGTATGAAAACGTCCTGATGCATCTCAGTAATCCAGGTAAAAAATCAAAGGAAAAAAATTGTATAGGTCCTCTGGACGGGTTCTTC